TGTCACAAGCACTATAAGCCTCTATCTTCTCTTTGATAGCAGCCTTGTCAATCTGAAGCGACTCTATGTCTGTTGAACCAGCCTCACCATGAATTCGATTCATCTTGATATAATGACGCTTTCCAAACTTCTCCATCCAGCCTTGAGAAGCATTAAAATCTTTAACGCCTATTCTTTCAGCAAAAATAGTAGCTTTAGTCTTAATCAATTCCCAAGTGATGGGAATCTGATTATTTTCAGCAATGTTGATCCAAAGAATCACTGCTTCTTCGATTTGCTATAGTTATGCGACAATATAATAAGATTAATTTTATTTTTTATATAGAGCAAAAATGCATAATGTTGAGATATATTACATACAGGCCATTTTTCCTTTCTAACACGCTTTCTGTTCTTTACGTTGGCTTGCATTATCAAGCCCTGGTCTCCTCTCTTCAAAATCTTCGAGATTGTAGAAGCATCAGGAGCTTTCTGAAGGCCAAAGGTTTTCTTTGCCCAGTCAGCCAATTGAGGGTTACTCATAGACAGCTTTTTCTTTTTCATATCGCAAATCTCAAGATGATTTGCAATATTAAGCAAAACGTTTTTTTTGGTCATATTTATTGTTTAGTTCTGGATTTGATAGATTTCATTAAAGTATCAAAAAAATTGAAAATGATATTAGATAAGCATTATATAATAAGCTAAAAGCATACCGAGAAGCTGTTATTATTTGATTGAATAAGAATTTGAAACAATAATTGGTTACGAGACAGAGGGGGTAGAAAACAGTAATGCAGCCAGGGGTTATATTTAACTAGAATGAATTTAAACAGAGGATTGAAGCATATCGAATCATTACTTGATATATTTTTTTTCTATTAAAGAATAATGTAAACTCCGCCCATAGTTGGCGGAAAATATATACTCCGAACTCGTTAATTTCACTCTTCGATAATTTCAAGGCATCTGGCCTTCCCTAGGCCTTGAAATTATCGAGGGACTACTGTATAATTATAGAAGAATGTGTATGGATCTGGATAGTGTGTTATTTATGAAACATACTAGAAAACATAGTTTAAATTATATTATTATATATAGCTTCTATCATACATTAAAAGTATTAACAAAAATATAAATAACAATGCGATTGTGAATGATTTGTAAATATATACCGTGGAATAAAAATCGGCTATAGAAGTATATTCCAATATATCTTGTATTATTATCTATAGATTAAACCCAATCTAATTTTAATTAGAATCTTGAGGAGACAGGATATATGAACAATTTTGGAATTATTTGAGAGAGGTATGATACAAGCTATATATTTATAAGAAAGCAAAACTATTATTACTAGCATATATGTTTTTACGATATTATTATCTTCTGGATTCCGACGGCCCAAGATTGTTGGAAATATCCCTTCAGTCCAGATCGAGCTCAATAGGCGGCCGATCCGGACAGGACCATATTGCTGATATAACATATTCGGTTTTTATTGGTTAACTGAAATTGTAGTTCTTATTCATCCTGCATATACATCTTTTTTGGTTTAGCTGCAAAACAACTTTACAAATCTTGAGACTGCATTCTTTATTGGTTAGCAAAAAATACAGTTCTTAATAATGATATACATATACTATTTATTGGTTGACTAAAGACGTATGTCTTATGAATATGAATATTTACTCTCTATTGGTTAACTGAGAATATAGCTCTGCTTAATCTTGCATATCTACTAGTCTTTTAACCAATAAAATATTTCTTACTCATAGTGAATCCACATGCTTTACTGGTTTGCAAAGATATATAGTTCTTGATAATGATGAATATGTATTATTTATTGTTTGACTAAAAATACATAACTTAGTAATCGTACTAGTTTACTTTGGTTTGCATCCAAGAGTTTAATGTAGTTAATAATCGTATATACTCATTACTTATTTGTTAAACTATATGTGTTTTGCTCATTGTGCATACTCATTATTTATTGGTTGACTAATAAATAATATATATCTTTAGTATTAAATTCTACTGTGTACACTATTTGTTACTTTTTTATATTATTTTATAACCCATTCATTGTATTTAATATAAGTTTTAGTATAATATATTTTACAAAGCTTATACAAGGAAGATATACCTATCAGAAAACAATCAAAACAAATATGAGCACAGGCACAAACAGAAAAATAAAGCAAAAAGAAAGAGAATTATAGATATATTCTTTCTAAAAATTATTGGTGTAAAATTAAAATTCAATTTATTATTATGAGTATATGAAATAAAATAATATAATCCAAATATAATATATAAGAACAAGACTGCGATTCTATTTTATTTTTATTTGAAAGTATAAAGCTTTACTAGTAGTATATTTTTTTATATAGTGAAAAGTGAGTATTGCATTAGAGAAAGTTGTTATTTGTAGGTGGCCATGTATGTGGTCCGTCTGACAGAGTTTTGACATTCATGGTGTACACTGATAGAAAAAAAAATGATTTCTATAGTGGGCTGTTGTGCTCGGTGGTGTCCGCCTGGTTTAGAATCAGTCACATACAGATGTATTAAAAGTCGAGAGCTCTGAAAGTTATATGTGACAGAATGCGATGGGTTCATTCGCATCGAAGAAGGTATCGGAAGTATGATGGTATGAATAGTATATATGTGCGAAAGTTCAAATCCCATTCTGAGAATGGCAATGTATGACACTCTAAGTGTAAAAGAATATAGTGTATTGCTTTTGAGTATAATATAGCTATATAGTCACAGGATAATTTGTTATTGAAATCAAAAAAGATTTGAGAATTAGAAATATATGAAGACTATCTTTGTTTTTCACTTGAATATAATATCTATTCTCTTTTGCTTATAGGGAGCTTTGTGCTTGTGGTATACACACCACAATTGAGTGAAGAACAGACCCCACAACCAAACACTGGTTCCTTCTTGCTAATGAACCTGGCAAGTTAACAATCTCCGGAACTGTTACACACCAGGCACACGTACACTACACACTCATACAGTGTAAACCAACCATTACACAACAGGGATTTGAATTACAGGGATTTGAATAGTAGCAGATATAAACAATATTATTTTGTCTCTTTAATAAATAACACTCTCACAGTATCTACTTTTCCCATTATTGAGATACTAACCCATAAACAATCCCGAATACCGCAGTGCTCAAAAGAGTTGGTGAGTCTCTATTGCCGCGAAGCAAAAGAGGACCTTGCGGCTTTTATTTTGGGTTTTATTTTTTATATTGTGTTTTTGAGGGCATTTGTATTTTCTAAAGTGAGAGATTGTAAGAAGCCAATAAAGCATATTTGGTAACTATGTCTTCACAAAGAGGTAGGATATATCTGAAAGCTTCTTTGTTCTATCAGAGCCGAAGGCGACCTAAAGTCAAATAGGAAACATTAGGGAGACAGATGGAAAATCATGCTAGAGTGCAAAAAAAACAAGAAGAGGGTGGGTCGAATGAGTAATCAAGAGAATGTGAGGGGATATATAGGAGGATCAGTACATATTGACTAAGTCTTTATATATTGAGTGTTAAAAAAAACGCGTTTTTCTCTCAGCTGACTAAATTTCAGTTTAATATTCACTTCTTTGATTTTAAAAAAAGTATTAAGAAAAAGAAGTATACACCTAAAATTGAAATGATATACATTAGTTTACATATACTTTTAGAATATGCTATTAGACTTGATATTTATTAATAGTTTGTTGGGTGACTTTTTGTGTCAATTACTGCCTTGTATCTTTAATACATACTTGAAATCAAGCTATCCGAATATTTTTGAGGAATTTTCTTCCATTCTTTCTCAAGAGCAGCATGAAGATATCTCAGGCTGTGCAAGCTGTATCTTTTTGACCAGACTCTTTTGCTAACATAATCCCATAGATGCTCAATGGGATTAAGATCTGGGCTTTGAGGAGGCTAGTCAGCCAAAATTTTGAGCTTATGCTGCTTCTTCCAATTTACAGCAACATTGCTTGTGTGTGCCTTGTCGTTGTCTTCTTGGAATACCAAGTCACTCCAACCAGTTTGCTGCTGGAAGGCTGAGAAAGAAGAAAGATATGCCTCTTCTAATACTTTGACATGCTTCTTGCCATTTTCTTGTCCGGTTATAATTTTTAAAGCCCTGGCACCCTTGCTGAAGAAGCATTTTCACACCATGAAAGAACCACCTCCAAACTTCATGGTTGGAGAAATAAATGGAGTACGAAGACCAGCATTGTTCTTGCAGAGAACTCTCTTGCAGTCATCATGACCAAAAAGTTAGAATCGTTTCTCATCAGTCCAAATGATATTTTCTCAATCCTCAATGCTCCAATCAAGATGAGCATTGGCTCATGCAATGTGTTTCTTTTAATTTTCAATAGATATATCGGGCTTCTTCATTATTCTACGGGAATATATGCCATGACTGTGAAGAAAATATCTTAAAGTGTTTGCTGATATGGAATTAGCAATGGATTTTCTGATGTGAGACATTGGTTGCGTTGGATCCTTTGACATCTCACGCAAGATCTCTCTTTTATCTCTTGCATTTAACTTCTTTGGTTTCCCTGGGTTCTTGACTCTCTCATACGACCCAGTTTCTTTGTAGTGTTTAAGCACTCTTGAAACAGTATAAGGGCTAACATTAGGCATCTTATAGATGTCACATTGCTTGGTGCCATTTGTAATGCTCTCGTGTACAATAATAGCGCAAGTTATATTGTCAGTTTTTTTTTTCTTTCAGTTCTGGGAGTAGATGTCATATTAGTACTTTTAGTTTTTGATTGCTTTATCAAAATATGAATTTAGAGGAAGAATATTGCGCAAATTTAGAGAGGTTTTGGACTATAAATTCTTGCATTATTTTTCAACACTCAGTGTACTATCCTTCCCGACCAGAGGGAGATCTGTGCGAAAAAGCCTTGTGAGACGAATTTGCGATTTTTCTTTTATTACTATATCTCAATATTGAATGTCCGGATTAATATATGAAGTTTTATTGAAACTAAGGTGAGTTAGAGTAATGATTTGCTTGATTGTGTTTGAGAACTAGTTGGTCAAAAGGTCGATTGAACATTTTCTGCTTAGGACTAGTATGGAGATGATTATCATTCAAAATTATCTGCATTATTACACATCGAATCTACTTTACAAAATAAAATAAAGATACATTTATTTGATTATTACAAACTTCCAATGATGTATACAAGCTGACCTAGTACATAAAACCATAAGACTTCAGGCAGGTAGCCAAGACAATGGCACTTTGTTTTATTTTTAAGCTATTTATTTATTTTTAAATGTAAGGAAAGAAATGAAATAGAAGTCAAATCAAATCAAATTAATCTACCGTAGTAAAAGGTAGAAGTGCCAGAAAAAAATATAGGAAAGGTTCAGAACAAACAGACGACGAAGTGAATTAAAATATCAAAAAGGCAGATTGATAAGGATATGTATACATAATGGTTTTTGTAGTAAATAATAGCAATAATAAAAAAAGAGTATTAATAAACCATGTATTAGAGAGGCGAATGCATTCCAAGCTAAATGATGATCACAATAATGATAATTGTAGTAAAATGCATGTTAGAAAACAAAATCATATACAATTATACAGACATACACAAATTAATTTTTCTACAATGGATAATTACCTTTGTGCTAAATTCCAATTTGGATCTCTTTTGGAATCGGGTAAACTCTTTGTTGTCATGCATCTTTACTAATTCTTGAACAGGCACCAGGACAAGCGGAAAGCCTAGACCGATAAAGTACACAAACCATGGGATCCTTGCCAAATCAAACGGACCGTTGGATAAAGACACGGCACAGAAGCAGATTTGTAGAATAATGCTATTTATTATCGGTGTGCTTGTGAGTTTTTTAACGGTTTTTAACGGCTGTCATTCTCTTTGCTACCCTTATTTAAATCCAAATCTCTTACCTTGTAAAGAATGCACCAACCCAAACCCTATTTCTAAAAGGATTGAATTCAAAGAGTGATGATGTTCGGTGCAAAAACGAGGGTGACATCCAGGCTAACAAATTGAAGATTCTTCAAGATAAGATATATTGAAGAATTGTATATACTCTACACTACACTACACTACACTACACAATACGACTTAGCACAACCCATCATATCATGGTCTATCCTATCTTACCCTGCTCTACCCTATAATATAGTGTAGTGTAGTGTTGTGTTGTGTAGTATAATATAATTTAATGTAATTTGATGAATTTACTAACCAAAATACCACACCAAGACAATAAGCATAAAGTTTTGGGCATACAATAACGCCCATTGTTCTTCTGCTGTCCAGTGCAGCCAACCACGCTCACCAAATCCACCAAATATATCGGAAGCAGTAATATTCAACGAATAGGCCAATGTCCTACATTAACACAGATAATATATAAATACACGAGTAGTATATGTTTTCAAATTTTGTTTTTTTAGTATATATATAACTTACAAAACAAATATAGTAATTGACATGATGATAGTCAATGTGAACCGAAGAGCAAAGTAAACCATAAATCGACCAAGATCTCTTAAATGCTCAATGTTTTTTCCTTTAATTTCACACATTAGTTTCACACAACAACAACAATGATTATTTCGCTCTGTTGGATACATAAGAGTATATTTTCTCTTACCAGGTACTAGCAGCATAATATTGTCTTCTTTTGGTGAAAAGAGCATAGACATTGTAAGTAGTGGAAGTATAATCCACATAATCCAAATAATCTGGTATCCCGACAGAATTGGAGGTAAAAGCACACATGATGCAAGGAATTGCATGATTGTCAGAGACATACATGAGCCGGCATAGAAAGCAAATCCCTTTTTAACCGCCAATAGAGAAAGTATATGATATATATAAAGAATTAATCAGAGATAGAAACAATCAGATATTTAGAGACATTCTTGTAAGATATACACTTTATGTGTTAGGCTATAGTACTTCTTTTTTTGTTTGGTTTCAACAGTTGCCTGTCCAGACTTACCATTCGCACGCAGCTAAGAAGTCTTCTAGCGTCTCTTATGAGCTGAGTCACTGCATAAAGACTAGTCTCATATTGCATAAAAAGTCCACAAGGAAGACTAACAAGAGACGCACCCACGGCGAGTGGAGGTTGTCGATCATTCAACGACAGACGACCTTTTGTCTGAGCTCTTGTGTGCATAGGTTCCATGGCGATACTAAAATCAGCCTAAGATAAATATCAAGAGGTTTAGATCTGTTAGAACAAACATTGAATTGAAGCTTATATATATAATGTATAATTTGTATATACCAGAGCAAATGATTCTGTGTTTTTAACATTTAATGCGTTTCCAATACAACACACAGCTTCACCGTATTCCTGGAATATACGAATCATTTCTTTCATTGCACGAGGAGTACACTCTGCAAATAAGGATACGTGGAGTGGAATATCATCCACATCTTCTAGATGGGGTCTTATTTGATCGATTCCTCGGGGAAGCTGTGCCTTGATGTCATGTTTCTGCAAGTATCCATTCCCACAATTCTCATCATCTGGACTGGATAGCAAGATGCAGCTGTTCCAGTCGGTTTCAAGTCCCAGTCTTTCGGCAAATGCTGCACAAACCATGTGTGTGTGTGTGTGTGTGTAAGTAATCGCCAATTGATTGTGTAAAGATCTTTGTCAGTCTACCTTTTGATTCTCTTTCGGCAGTAGGTGAAAAATAGACAAATCGAATACCGGCAAGACCCAAATCTTCGATAAAATCTACTACATTCTATTTATCATGAAGTATGTATGAATACAACCAAGATATATATATATATATATATGCTTTTTTTTCTTTGTATATATATAATAGCTACCTGTTTTGGCTGATGGCACATGGCTGCTATTCCAAGGAAAATCTGGCCCTTGACAACTTCCTTGTAAAATGTCTCTTCTTCTTGCTCATCCACTGGTTCATCCTCTTCAAACGAATAATCACTTGAACTATCCTCACTTGAAGATTGGCTACCTGAGCTAGTGATAACTTTAGATGACCGACGTTTGTGCTTTGTAGAAGTATGTGAGGGGCCAGCCTAATAATTAATTGTTATTGTTATTCTATTAGATAGTTTTTCTTTTCTTTTCTATATAACTAATAATAGTAATAATGGTAACCAGAAGACTCACTGAGGCTTTAGATATCAAAGAAGCCTCTGATTCGCTCTCCGAGCTGCTGCTACTTGAGCTATCAGAGCTTTGTGATTTGTGTGGCAGGACAACAAATGCACAACCAGGATCTTCTTCATCGGAAGGGCTCAAGAAAGGAATTCGGTGTCCGTTTGCAGTGTTGATAGGTCGGTATGCATAGGCAATGCATTGCATGTCATGAACCATTGCGTTGTAGAAAAAGTCATTTATTTTCTTCTCCATCTTATGAGTGTTAAAGAGAAGGCAATAAGATATTGTTAGATAAGATGAAAGAATACGATAGGTATGGTAATAGTCTTATTTTAACACAACTAACAAAATAAGATATATATATATATAAATCATTAAATTTACCGTTTCACTCATGGTTTGCAATGCACTTCCGTCCCAGTAATCAGAGCATTTTTCCAATACAAGAGTAGGATGGCCATCTGTCAGGAGTTGATAACTCTCTAGTAGAAAAAAAAGTAATGGCAGTAGTAATATATTAGTATATGTATAGTGTCCATCATCTCATGCTTTCTTACCTGTCGTCTTTTCTTCAAATACAGTGGAAAGCGCATTGGGAACTTCGAAAGAAAAGTACTGGCTGTACTTGTATCGGGGTGTACTCAAAATATCATGGTAAGGTGCAAAGGTGTAAATCTCGGCTCTTGACACAAATGACTGAAGAGCCTCTTCTCTAAAACCAATACATTTTCCCAATCGACACAGGCAAGCTAGAAAAGTACAGGGTTTTGGATTAGTAAATTGTAAAAACATGATGATTATAATCATTGTCATAATAATAACAATAACAGTATTAATGGATTAGCCGTCGGTAAAATAGTTAGCCACTTACATTGTCTGGCTGGAGATGTTTTTCCATAAACATGAAGCTTTGAACGCCGTCGGTGATAATCGGATCGTTTTCTGCCTTGAATGATACCACAGTTGGTATTCAGCATAAAGTTTAATCCAAGTGGTTTTAAGCATCTAATATAAATCAATTCATATAATAATATTCAGCTTTTAATACAATCGTGTATATATCAGTAGTTTACATACGGCAAGTTCTTTTCCCAGTCTTGGTCTTCAAATTTAACACCAAAAGGTTCATCTGAATCTTCTTCCACATCCAAATAGCTTATATCCTCTTCAGAATTCGGAAACATTATTTGTTCCACGGTAGGAAAAGGCTTCAGTACAATAATAGTGTATGCAATTTTTTGAAAGGAGAAATATATACATAAATAAGCAATTATAACTTCTTTGTTTTTTTTTGTCTTATTTCACTTAATATATATACCCATTAATCTAGCTATAGTAGTTGGATTAGTGACATACGTTTGCTATTGTGCCTTCTCTATCAAGACAGCAGATCACCGTTATACTTCCAAGAGATTCAAGCAGGTTGGTAGATCTTGTGAGAGAAAGGCGATCCCATTTTGTCAGCAAAGAACAAAACCTGTCCCAGACGGCATCTAATGATTCAAATATGAGACACTTTTTCCTATATTATTACTACTCTTATTTCTATTGTTATTTTTTTTTGTTATTTCGGTATTAGAATAATCTTACTAGGACTCAACTCGACATCCTTTGTAGGTGGGGGTGCTTCAGCGTCAAATTCATCTACTTCACTATCATCTTCGTATTCTGTTTTTGAAATCTGGAGGGCTTCAAACAAGATCAGTAGCTGAGCATTTCCAAAGCTACGGGCAACCATCCAGAGTGATGGCAAGCAGAGGGGTAGAAGAGGGAGGATGGTGTAGAATGGAAGGACGAGGATCAGTTCGGCCACCTGGTCAGCTGGGAAATCATCTAATAGCCGGTCTCGAAGGCCGAAGCGCAAGAGATTGACGACAATTGAAGCGCAAAAGACGATCCAGATGATGTAATGGTAAAATACACGCATCAGTTTCCGTGCTTCGTTGGCAATGACTGTCTGCGGCCGCTCTTGTGCCAAGGCTGCCCGCATATTTTTCTCCAAAGGGGTTTCCAAGAGTAAGAATTGATGACGACCTCGGGCACGTAGATACTCTTCCATCAATCCAGCCGGAGGAGGGATTCCAAAAAACGATGGTTTGAATGTCTGGTCTTGGGCAAGGTAATATTCTCTTGTCTGAAGATCAAAGCTAGTCGTTGTGGTTGCGGTTGTGTTTGTTGCCGTTGCTGCTGCTGCTGCTGCTGCTTGTTCTTTTGGACCCTCTGTGGTTTTATTTGCGTTCGAGTTATCATAGTCTGGGTTGTCTTGTGTATGAGAAGATTTGTGGATGTACTTCATCCGACCAGGCGCAACGTCTCCGTAAAGCATTTCCACAACATCGCCTTCTACCAAGAGGTTTACGGGAAATGTTCGTACCACACCATCTCGAACTACCTTTGCAACAGACATTGAGGGAATAAAAGGGATTTTTGTATCCTTTAATAGTAAAAAAAAAAGTAGAATTGGTTTATTTTATTTTTTTATTATTCTATTTTATTTTTTCAAAGCATGTTTCAATAAAATAAAGGTTTACCTGGACCATGTTCATTCCGCTTCTTTCCAAGGCTGATATAATTGTTGCTGCGCGATCAGTCATTTCACAGTCGGTGAGATGCTGTTCTCGATGACAGATATACCAATTCCACACTGACATTACTATAATCAAGATCGCTTCTACCAATGCTCCTGTAACGCGATATTGGTAAGGATCGCCCTTAATACGCCCAGCAATGTAAAATGTCAGGAGTGAAATAGCAGTAAAGATAGACATGATCATCTCTGGTCGAATCAACCAAGCCCAGATATCTGAATATAGACACTTTATTATTAACTTAGAATGATAACTAATGACAGTAATTTTAATAGTAATTGCAATAGTTTATTAAACGACAGACAGGCTTCTTACCAGCAGTTCTTGATATCCGGCTTCTCTTTTCATCGATTATTTGATGTGCAATGTAAAGCAATTTCCTACAAAAAAGATATATATTTATATTCATATTCATATCTATATCTATACACATATTCGCACACAATATCCAAATCTTTCATATATATGTTTTTTTATTATTATTGTTATTGTTGTTATTATTTTCACGGACCTCAAGGCGGTATCGCTTGATAGACCTGGATCACGGTTAGATTGAAAGCTTTCTCTTCTACTCCATGAATGTGTGTGAAGATCGGTCTGCAATAGTCCCTGAACTTTGCGCTTTGTTCTTCTGCGCATCGATCTATCTCTGTACCGGACATGATCGTGTGGGATATCATCATCACTGGGCTGGTAGTTTCCGTTGCTCTGTTGTCGCATTCTTTCCTGATCCCAGCTAGGCATTTCGTCCATCAGATCTTCCTGTTCATCTGTATAGACCGTCACACCTTTGCCTTTCCTGTCTCGTCTAGCATGTCTATCCTTTGGGTCTCGTTGTCTTCTACGATGGTTGCGTCGATGACGGTGGTGTTGGTGGCTGTGGCTGTGGTTCCGATAATCTCCGTTTTCGTCGTCGTCTTCGTCTTCGTCCTCTTTTTCTGATCCAGATGGAGTTTCTACAGCAGATCTGCTGCCTTCTTCAACATCGTCATGTGCGTTATCAAACGATTGGTTCAAATGCATCTGTGTGCTTCTACGGCGTCGGTGTTGGCCCGACAGAGCTTCGGTTTCAGGAATGTTCCTGACAGGTACATAGCTGTAGTTGTAGTCGCTTTCGGATTCGTCATCGCCTGTGCGCAATAGCCTAGCAGCTCTGCTTTTCTCTAGCCGCCGTGGCAGCGAACCTCCGTGGTCGATGACAACCTGGGCTGACACACTAGAGCTGGATGAATCGGAGCTTCTGCGGCTTATACGTCGAGATACACTTTCGGGCTCGCTTTGGTTATTTAGGTTTTCTTCCTGACTTGGCTCTGAAATATCAAGCAAGAAGTAGGTTGTGTTGCCGTTGTCTTCTGAAGACTTTTCTGGTGTGGCATCGATGGACTTGTCCACATGAGATTCCCTTGTCGGAGAAGTTGCCATTGAATCCTTTGTGTTTAATGGTGTCTGGGATGACACTGATATCGCAGAGGAATTCGAAGTTGATGCTGGAGAGAATTGAGCGTCAGGTACGGGATTAGGTAAACCACCGGCCATGAGGTGATTCCTTTACTTTATTTAATTTTATTTATTTATCTATTGCTAAAAAAAAAAGTGAAAAAAAGGAAGGATGCCAATAGTTTATAGATGAGATGGTTTTGTGTTCGGAGTGATGTTTAATACATCAATATCTTATATATGTATTGAAAAAAACAGGTCAATCAAAAATGCCATTCTATTTTTTTGGGATAGCCTGTGACTTGCAAAATCCAAAATGGTGCTTTCCAAAGATGTGTAGATTTCATTTCATTTCACTATATTTTATTTTTATATCATTGACCTATGTGCTTTCAGAGATTGATACTTTTGAAAGCAGATGGTTGACTAGGTCTATATAATTATAAGTAGAAAAGATAGAATATATATATATATATGTGTGTGTGTGTGTGTGTGTGTGGGTAAGTATTTTGATCTTGATATTTTGTGATTTTTGTTTGTATAATTGCGATTTAAAAAAAAATAGTAAATATAAAAGTGCGTATATTTATATATGTGTATAAAAAAAGTAGGGAAAGGATAAGATCGCATGTCGTTCTTGAGACATGTATTTGTTTTTGTGAGATTTGTATCTTCTTTCTATTACCTAAATTCTGAAAAAGCAAGTACTTTCTTCTTCTTTTTGACGCAAAAAATAAATAATAAAAATAAATAAATAAAAGAAATAAAAAATTTGATGACAACCATTTCAAGTTGATCATTTACTTGGAGAAATAGACGAGGGATCCTTTGTCTGAATTTCTTAACCTTGAAGAATTACCAGAATCAAGATATCTTGGTTGGTCATTGATCAACTTTTTTTTTTCTGTTAACTGAAGCTTAATAAGTGGTAGGGAGGTTCCTTTTCTTTTGGCGACAAAACAAGTAAAAATACCCAAAAAAAAATTGTTATTAAAGTCAGCCTTTGATTCAATGATTGATAGTGATAGTGACCGTGCTATAAATATATTATTATTTTGTTTCTGTCAATTAAATATTATTAAATATAGCGTTGACTGTGTTGATATCAGTAAGATTCTTGTTGTTGTTTTTGTTGGGTATGCATTTTGTTTTTTTCAGTTTTCCAACAATCAATTTAATACGCAAAAATGGAATTTTATTATCATTAGTGTTTCAAATATATATATATATATTTATTGAGTGGCCAATGCGTCAATCTGAATTGAAATCAGTCAATAAGGCCAGGGTTTTTCATTTTATTTGATATTATAAAAATATGTATATATTTGTGGGTAATTGATTTCTCAACAAAATGAATATGTATTGGGTGTAAATGTGGTGGTGATGGATATTGTCTATCTATATATATTTTTTGTTCTTTACATTTAAGCTCTATATACTTTATATGACTATCGCTGCTATCAAATACATACATAGATATATATATATATATATATATATATTGGGGGTGAATAAAAACATAAAAAAAGGTTGAGAAGAAAGTCATACATATAAAGTGCGCTTATCCTGTCATGGTGAAATCCTGATCAGCCCATGATTTGTATCACTTTAGGCTTTCTCCCTTTTCTAGGCGCTGTGTCACTAAGGGTGTATTAAAACTCCAGCTCCCAGCCTCGGGTTTGTTTCCACTCTCTGTCTATCAGGAAAACAAAGAAGAAGAATTCAAGATATGTGTCTATTCACCTTTATGCTTATCGAGTGACTTTACTGGCAATAATAATCATAATGATGACTACAATTGATACTTACAATAGTCACTCTTTCAATGTCTTTCTTTTGATTCGCACACATTAAATATATACTTAAATATCAGTGTGTGTATAGATTTGTAGATAATAAAGCGGCAAGTGATATTTATATATGTAGTATATTCTTCTTATAGGATATAAAATTATATATAAATAAATAAATTTTAAAATATATAATAATAATAATGTGTCTAGATCATTAGATAAACACACATGTATTTATGTATGATATATATATATATATATATAAACACCCATTACAAGACATAGAATATAGTAAACTATAAAGTATAAATAATAGATAAATTTTGCTTGCTTAATTTTTTTTCTTTTTCTTTTTTTTTCTTTTCTTTTCTTTATTTTATTATTATTATTATTATTCTATCATATTTGTGCACTGTATTTTATTTAACCGCTTGGCACAACCTTGTATCTCCCTTTCTACTTATTTACATATACACACTCCTATTCCTGTTAACTACTACTACTATCCTCATTACCACTTCAAGATGTTCCTTTTACAGCACATCCACTCCAATACTTCATTCTGTCTACGATCGTCTTTATTCACACGCCCTCTGATTCGCCAAATCCATGCATCTCTCTACCGACGATCAGAAGCAGTCATGTCAAGACAGGAAAAGATCCCCTCAAACCTGAGCATGATTGACTTTTTCGATCCTGCACTATCAACAACCCCTCGCCCTTTTATTCTACATCATGGTGTGTCAGGATACGCAAAACGAGGAAAGCCAATAAACTCCACAATCACTACAGAACAAGACGAATCTGCCTATTCAAGTCTGCAATTCGGAGACGACGCCTACTTCAAACGACATGACGCACTGGGTGTAGCAGATGGAGTAGGAGGATGGCGCACTCGCGACGGTAAAGCCCAATAGAAATAATCTTTCTGTGTATTTTATTATACGATGATAGTGATATCGGACAACAGAGACCTTTTACTTTATTATGATTACTATTACTATTATCAACCATATTTATCTATATTCATTTTATCCTTTAGGTGCAAATCCCGCATTATATTCTCGTAAAATAATGCACTATGCTCAGCTAGAGATTGGACGTGTAAGGGATGCTATCCAACCATATGGCGTGGATGAGCAAATAAGTCCAGTAGACGTCATGAACAAAGCATATCAACTAACGACCCAGGATACAGTATCAGAGGTAAATTATATATTAAAAAACAAACTTAATTTAATCTTAACAAGAGTGTGTTTCACCAATGTTAACATTAATATTTATATGTGTGTTTGTTATAATGTTTTCTTGTGGGATGATCTTTCAAGGGTATCGTCGGATCAACAACTGCGTGTATTGTCTTGCTGTGTCAGAACGAACTTCGGGTGGCCAATATTGGTGATTGTGGTGTGTCTGTTATCCGACGAGACAATTTCATATTTCGATCAGAAGAACAACAACATTCATTCAATTTTCCATATCAACTCGGTACTTCTTCATGCGATACACCAGCAGATGCACAGGTAAATAGACCTATCTATCTATTGATCTATTGATCTATCTCTATATGTAATATGCAGTTTATTCTAATGCAATCTTTATTTATCCATCTATTGATTATCACAAAACAATAAACAATAAACAAAAAACAAAAAACAAAAAACAAAAAACAAATTTCAATAGCAATTTAGTGTAAAAGTGGAAGAAGGCGACATCATTATATTGGGATCTGATGGATTGTTTGACAATCTTTACGATGAGGAAATTCTAGAAGAAGTTCACAGGTGCATGGGGAGACCTATCATTAAATACGATGAATTTGGAGACATTGAGGATCCTTCGTACGACGATAACGATCCTGACACCAATACCAATACCAATACTGATGGTCTGGCGATAGATACCCTTGTTCCCATAGACGCCGATCCTCAGTCTATTTCAGATGCACTTGCCATTAGAGCCAAACAAGTAAGTGAAGACATGGACAATCCGACATCACCGTTTCAGGTCAGAGCCATGCATGAAGGATTGTACTATCAGGTAAGACAGAAATTATGATTGACTGGTCAATATCAGTTCATAAATTATAAAGTACTAATTTAATATCAATATATAAATATAAATAATAGGGTGGAAAGGCAGATGATATAACTGTACTTGTTGCAGTAGTTAGCCTGGCCGGACAGGGTCCTGTAAACACACTAGAGGACTAGGTGTTGTCTATCATCATTCTGCTACATTTTTTTTCATTCATTCATTCATACATACATACATACATACAAACAAACAAACATACTTACTTACATAATTACTTACCTACATTCATACATTCATACCTTCATAACTTCATACATACATATATACATATATTCTTTTCGCATTTCATCTTCATTCACACTGCTTATATTTTTTCTTACCAGACTTATTGTTTATCCTTGCTTTTGAATATGTGTATGTATATACAAATTTCTCAATATCAATTCATCTTATTTTCATTTTTGCTCTGCTCTGCTCTACTCTACTCTGCTCTGATCTGTATATCATGCTCAAATCATCCACACAAAATATCATCTTAATAACACCTTTTCTCTAAAACTCTGTTTTCGTCTCAATTCTGCCCCTCATTTTTAATTATTTTTAATTGTTTTATTTTATTCTTTTTTTGGTGTTTGGTGCGGGGGGTGGGGGACGAGAGTGGGGGTGGAGGTGGGGGGAAGTTGAGCCAACTAGAGTAGAGGGTGCTTTGGATATTTTAGATGGAAAAGATTAAAGCTGATAAGGACACGTGGGAAATTTTGCTACTAGACGCATAGAAACACACAAATGTACCACACAGCAACAAAACCAAGAATAAATTAGCATACAAAAATGTAACTACTCTTGTTGTAATTCAATGCAATGCCTGTCTACCAAAATAAATATAAAATAAAAAAATTTATTTTTGAGCAAAAATATATTAAGTGATATAAGATGTAATGTAAATAATTGCTTTGTACTTTTGATGGCTTGCAACAAACATCTTATTAACCTGCCAAAATTATGACTGAAAACAAACTGTACGGTATACAATTTATACTCCTAAATACCTGTCTTTCAAAGGCTCTTGTTGTCTAGTTTGTGTAAATGTTAATTAAACAAGACGTCTAAAAAGAAAGTAATAAAGAGATTGATTGATGGATTGATGGATTGATGGATGGATTGATTGTTCAAGATCGATAATCTTCTCATCTAAACTATATATAGAGTGACTGTTTGATCATCCTACACAAGCATCCATTTATACCAACAAGGTTACTGTGAATAAAGTTGTATTTACAGCATCAATAATATACTAACTTTCATATCATGTGTAAATAGCTATATTTGAATGGAAGCAACAATCGTATCTACCACCATCAAACCATCAAATGTATTGTCTCTTTGTACTTCTTCTTTTTCTTATTTTTCTTTATATGATCGTTTATATAATATACTGTTTCTTTGACCTGATTAAAGATTACATTTATGCTCTATTGTACTGAAAATAAGGTACTCCACCATAAATTTACCATTCACTTGCCCATTGACATTTCAAGATGAATAAACATCACCAAACATAAGTACATTCTTACTTATTAAACTTTTTTATTTAAAGAAAAAAAAAGCCTCATTCAAAGATTCATGTACAACAACCTCAAGAATGTTCTCTTTTACTGTGACTCCCCCAATCATATAAAACTGGTAGTCTTTTTTTTTTGGTTCATTCAAGTTTAAAAACAATAATTCTATATCCAAAGGTTTGGGTCTATTATATATAACGTGTGTATATGTATATATACATCTTTGTGTCTAAACCCTAAACTCTAAACTGGCGTAGTCAAATCTTGATATAGTGATATTAACAGAGAGAAAAGATACAGTTACCATATTATTATATCGGATGTAAAGTGTATCTTAAAACCACACACACAATTCATTCTTTAAAGAACACTCTTGCATATTATCTTTAAGCCTCCTAATAAGAAGAATTCTTTATATATATATACTTCAAAATATTACCATTCTATTATGCTCATGTCTCTTGGAAAAATGTATAAATACCATTGTTATTTTGATAAAATCTTATGTTAAGCTATCACAAAGCCTGCCATGCGCACAAAGCGAATGGTTTTTGGGTGTGCACATATTTACTGTTGGATATTTAAACACCATAGTTTAGTGGTGAAAATATCGATAACCCCGTAAATATCGATCTGTTGTTGGTTAAATACGTACTTACAGAGACCAGTCATCTCTATACAAAATTCTACTTTGTAAAAAAAAACAGAATATCTGATTTTTTTGATGTGTACGGCTTAATGAAAAAAGGTAGCATCAGGTATGGACTTTTGGTGCAAATGGCTAAAAATCCATTAGTAAATGTGTGTGTGTGTTTTTAGATTGAAATAATAGGATGTTTTGATCAATATTAGAGTAATCAATATCAAACAAAATCAAAATGGAGGGTCTTAATAAGACCAGATATATTAGTTATTAATGTAGAGCCACTTTACCTAACAGATACGGATTTATGGTTGATTTTCTGCATTCGATTTGCTATTATGATCAAAATACTCAATTTTTTTATTAAAGAAGTATCTATTTCAGCGGTAAACTTGGTAATGTTTAGAGTATAATAGTATTCATTTATTTAAAATGATTTTTTTATTCTTCTACTATTAGTACTATATCAAACTTTGAATGTTCTATTCAGGTGTTTGGACGTATAGATACTTACAAAGTACTTCTTCTACGCAATTATGTACAAAAATTGTTTGGGAAAAACTAATTTCAAAAAGTGTTTGTGCTGATTGGGAACTACCTTAACTTCTTCATCAATAGTAGCTAATAATTGTATTATATATAGCCTCTTTGGAATGTTTTATGAATAGTTTGCCAAATGTGATTTGAGAAAAAAGAGGGTATTTATTAAAGTAGCACTTTTGGATGCTGTATGGATTATGGTAATACATTCAAATATATCTGTTTTACAGAGTCAATTAATACATAAGTATTTATATATATATATAATAATAATACTATTACTTTTACTTTTACTGTAAAGATAGTAAAGTATTGGTTTACATGGTTAATGCTTGGGTTTTGGACTCTCGTATTCAAAAACATCAATTCCATGATTGCTTTGATGATTTGTGCTGCTGGTTGCCTTTTCAGTATGAACAACAATGTCTTTGAGTTCCTCATCAACTTGGGACCGGCCAGAGTTGATGCTTCCATTCTCCTTGGCTTCAGCAGCTGCAACAGCGTCCATAGCTTCTTGTCTACGATCTGCTTCTTCTTCTTTCCATACATCGCCACGGAAAGAGCCTTCGACACGAGACATTACGCAGCAACCAAGGCAGTTACCGAGTACGTTAATAGAAGTACGACCCATATCCATTAGAGCGTCGACTCCCATAATCATTGGAATTGCCTGTTCAGGTAGATTATACTGAACACAAAGAATATAAAAAAAATTAGATAAGGATATGGAATAAGGTTTCAACCCTGATTTAGGGTCTACTTAAGAAAAGAAGAAAAAAGGTGGCGGGATGGGTGGGAAACATTTGATTGTTTGTTTGTTTTTTTTTCTTTTACTATTATCAGTAAGTGTATCTTACTTGGGATAATGTGCCGGCAAGTACGATCAGAGACGCGCGCGGAATAGCAGCTACACCCTTGGAAGACAACATGAGAGTTCCCATGATACTGAGTTGGGTTCCTATTGGCAAATTCATACCGCCAGCCTGTGCTGCAAAAATACTAGCCAAAGCAAGATACAATGTGCTACCATCGAGATTGAAAGAGTATCCACTAAACAACCAAATCCATTTAGCCTAACTTTAGTACGATGTATCACTGCAACCCAAGAAATATACACAAACTAGAAACAGCAGACACCATAGATCAGAAATTAAGCTCACCATGGGATTACAAATGCGGTGAGAGAGTTAGGGCATCCAAACTGGCGCATACGCTCCATAGCCTTTGGAAGAGCTGATTCGCTTGATGCTGAACTAAAAGCAATCAGCCAGGGTTGGCCTATGGCTCTAAAGAATCCGAGTATAGGCACTCGTGCCATAAACATGACCGGAAGCAGGATCACAATTACAAAAATAACAAGTGCAGCATATAGTGAGCCGATCAGCTTTCCAAGATTCCTGAGAACTTCAATTCCACTTGTACCCACGGTGGCAGCTAAGCCAGCCCCAATACCTGCGTACAATCGAAATTAAAATAAAATGGTTAGGTTGATTGACTGATTTATTAAACTCAAACTCAGCGAATCTTGATCCAAGCGGTTTTCTGGCCACAAAAAAGGAAAACTGGTCTTACCGATAGGAGCATCTACCCAAAACCAAATCAAGAATAAGTTAGATAAGGTGAGATATATATAGGACTCATTGAAAAGAGACCAAGACAAAGTATTGATATTTTGTACTTACAATTCATTACAAGACCCACAAACTTGAACATAACCTGTAATATTCATTAGAACAATATCAATATCAAGCAATCGAGAGTTAGAATAAGCAGACCATTAGTTTTCTCACAAAATGAAAAGAAAAATAATCTTGTAACAGATCAGTACTTTATGTTTGTTTTGCCATTTATTACCATAGATAGACTGTGATTAACTTGAAGCATGACTGCCTTTGATTTCTTGTCAGCAAGCATCATGGCGCATGAAAACATGGCGGCGCAAAACACAATCGAAAGGATTTTGTTCTCGTAAGCGGCAACAAAAAAGTTCTTTGGAATAATCAAGTTCAATTCTGTCTCCCAAGAGATACCACTTTGTTTTTCGGCGTACTCTGCACCAACGCCTGCATCACCGACAAGTGTAACACCAGACCCAGGTTTAAGCAAATTTGCCATAATAAGTCCAACGGCAAGAGCAAATGTAGTAATGACCTCAAAATACTAAATCAAAAAAGAAAAATTAATCTAATGTTTGCTTTGTAAAATAAAAGAGAAATGACTTGATAAATCCCACTCACAATAATAGACTTGACCGCCAGTCTTCCGACCTTTCCTACATCATCACCATGGCCAGCAATACCGACCACAAGAGTGGAGAAGATCAGAGGAGTTTCGATGGTAGTAATCATGTTGATAAAGGCAGTTCCGAGTGGTTTGAGCTGAACACCAAAGTCAGGAGCAAAGTTTCCGATGAGAATACCAACCACCATAGAGAATATGATCCACTCGGTCAGGTTTGTGTGGCGAGAAAGGAACCGGAAGGTGTAGACGATTGGATTCCATATGAAAGTAAAAAACGCGTATCCAATGGCACCTCCAACCTTGACTGCTAACTTTGGGTATGGTTTCTTGACTTCAACAGTGTCCAGAGGGATCTCAAGACCTCCAAAGATGGTTTTTACTCCACCCAGCTTTTTTAATATGGGATGTGATGGCATTAAGAGAGTATAAAGGATTAAAGCCATGGTTGTCTTGATTTCTAAGTATTTATATCATTTTTTTTCTCTCTCCTCCTTATCCTCGTAATACTTACACACAAACAAATAATTTACCTATTACTATAAGGTTACCTTATCATTTATTCCTGTGCTTAAAAATATTACTTGCTATCAAAAAGGCAAATGACTTTGATCTGTGTAAGCAGAGTACCGAAAGTATACACATATTTGGAACCAATGAATTTTATTGATTTGGGCTTCACTGGAGACTGTACCACCCCAGAATCGAAACTTTAATACAAAAATGATAGATAAAAGCTATTTTGTAACACGTCGATCCAACGGAAGCTTTTTTGTGCGTGTGTATGTATGGAATTATTTTGTGGTATGACAAGTGATTGGTAAGTTTTTTAACAAGAGAAAGAAAGAAAAGTAAGAATAAGAATAAACTCATTTTTTTTATCTAGGATAAATCGACTGCCTGGAGTTTTATAATATTTGTGATCTCTCGGCGTCCATTGAGCCAGGACTTGAAAGTGCTCATCTTTCGCGCCTCCTTATCACAGATCGTATCTTCTTCACATTCATCTCCTGATTCTAGTTCACCCAGACTATTGTCGGTTTCTTCGAGGAGATAGTTTGCGAATACGATAAGATAAAAGTATCGGACAAGATAATTGATAGCAACCTCGCGTGTAGCCTTCCACTTCTTGCCATTGCGGTCTTCAGTGGCATCTAGCCTGAGCTTGTAGTCGTACATTGCTTTGCGCAAGTTCTGCATATGGTCGCACATATTGATGGCCTGATCTGTGAGGCGCTTAGCAAGCTTACCGTAGGTCAGGACGCTCACCAACTGAAGAATTATTTTATATTCTCCATTCAGGTAACGTTCGCGTTCTTCAAACGATTCATCAACGACCTTGTTATATAAACCGAGTGCCGATGATGATACTGGGGTTGAAGGTTCTGAAGAAGGATCGACAATGTAAGAACTTGTCATGTCTGCAAGAGAATCATTCTTGAGAATCATGGACATCAAACAGGCCGTCACCATTCCAGTGGTAGTACGACCACGTCTGAAAAAATAAAATAAAAGTAAAACAGCGAGGGGTGAGATTTATGTGCGTGGGAAAGTAATATAGGATAAAGCAGCTTACCCCATCTGACAATTGAATAAGGCATCAACACCAGCATTGGCGCTCAGCATTCTTTGGACAAGTTGATCAAAAACATCCGGGATAGGTGCCTGTTCATCTGTACTGTAGATCGAAATTGAATAATAATCATAATAATGAAATGTTAATTAACAGTTTTCATTATTAAATTATAAATCCTTACATGGGAATTCTAAGGTAATCCACCTGATATCCTTCATCAACTATAGATTGGAAGGCTTGTGCTGGGGTCTCCACACACTCTACTGGTACAGTCTCCCAAATTGGCTAAAAAAAGAAAGAAAGAAAGAAAAAGGCAAGTATACAACGAGGTGTGCGTGTGTAAGTGAGTATGTGTGGGAGAGGTTGTAGTATTACACATTAGAGACAGTACTTACAATAAGTGTGAATCCACCTTTCTCGGTCTGCTCTTCATCATGTAATAGCAAACGGCTATCATATTCTTTGAGTTCCTCCAAAACATCCAGTCGCATTCTGTTTTCCATGGACTCCACTCGTTCTTTGGCAATACCAGTTGTCTCGAGATTCTTTAGTGGGTCTTGGAACAAACGAAGGACATATGGCTGTTTGTTGACATACAGAACGGGCTCTTCGCGCAAACAAGTCCAGAGAACCTTGCGCTTTCCACCTGGTCCGGCATTCATTGATTTTAGGACTGCTTTGATGGCGTCTTTAGATGGCATTGCACATCCACAAATAAAAGGAGAGCTTGGAATATCATCTTCTTGGCGTTCCATATCAGCAGCTAGACCACTCTTGTTTGCTGCCAGCCCACCATACTTGACCGCACTTTTGACTTTCTTGACCTCAACACGTCTAAAGTTGTAAGCACCATCAATCTTTTCTTTGAGGCTCATTTTCTGACAGCCAGGGAAAGCATCGTGTTTGAGAATTGTCTGCTGGGCCAATACCTGGCCATGGCGCGCACTCACGACTTTCATAACTTCACTTGAAAGGGCAACACCATCACCCATAGATTTTTCAACTGGTACTAGCAAGCTAAGGTCTTGTCTACGTAGTTCATGCTGGATCGTGCGCAATTCACCGTGGCGTTTGATCCACTGTTCAAAGGATTCGGTCTCTCCGATAATATCAGGCGAGGTACTGCTCAGGTAAGCTTGGAAGCAAATCAAGAGGAAGTAACGTTCCAAAGCAAGAATTCCGCGCTTAACAATGCGTTTACGCTTCTTCAGATCAGGTTCACTTTCAGCTTGAATGTGGGTACTCTCGATCACATCACGTAAGTTAAGGTATGCACCGCATTTGTCAATTGCATCGTCTACGATACTCTTGATCTCGAGTCCGTTCTTGATCACTCGCAGTAAACTGTTGATGATTTGGTAGTTAAGATATTTGGGAGGAGCAGTTTTGGTGGCTACTTCTTGTTGTGTGTTTTGACTCATCCAGCGTGTCAGTAGTGTCGCAATCACTGTGCCAATGGTAGATCTTCCCAAGCCAATCTGACAGTTCCTGTGTTTCAGAATAGATGTGTTGAGCAAGTGTGAACCCATCACTCATTGTAGTAGAAACAATTGATTGCCATGTTAATTTAAAGCTGTGAAACATGTGCTTACATTATCAGAGCAGTCTTGGATAACTCTACGCTTGCAACCAAGTTACGCAATTCATCAAAATCATTGATGTCTGGTGACTTTTCGGCTGTAATTGGTACTCGATGATAATCTAGAACCGAGCTTTCTTGGTGAACATCGTCACCAACTTCGTCATTTAGCTCCTGGGATATTTCATAAGCTACCGATTCCATTACTTCACGGACGGTCATGACATCATCCACTTGCACTTCTTCCCATGCTGGTTGAACATCTCCTTCTTTATCTTCGCCGTGCAATAGGATTCTACCATCATAGTTGACAACCTCTCGCTGGACATCCTCCTTAAGTCTTTCTTCAAGCTGCTCAAGACGTGCACCGGTAATTCCCTTGTAAGCCCTTATGTTGCGCAGAGTAAAATATCGGTCGCGAAGAACGTATGGAATACCATTGATATATATAATAGGCTCTTCTCTGAGATTGACCCACAGGATCTTTTCATTGCGTGGCTTGTCGGTAAGAAGTCTGCGAATTACTTTGCGCAATCCATCAACAGTTGGCTGCGCAACACCATACACATGAGTGTGTCTGACTCGTCTAAAGTTTGAGACACCATCTATAAAGAATATATGGTGCTTCTTGCTGTCGCTCATCTCAAGAGATTGGGCATCCGCGAGAGGATCGACAGGGGTAAAGCTTGGGGTATGAGCTCTTGAGAGCATTTCATTATTTTCGGTTTCATCCATGTAGCAATGGCGCCAGAAATCAACCTTGAGAATTGTCTGGGAAGTCAATACGACACCTGTACGTGCCTGTATTATTTAAATAATTTCATTTAGATGAGTTGTGACCAGAAGGATTCTTATTAATACTTGATACTATTGTTATTGAATTTACCTTGAGAATAAAGTCCTCCATTTCGCTTGCAACAGTTCCAGACTGGGCGCCAGCACCCATCATTTCAAACATGCCTTGGCCATAGCCAAATTCACCATGACGACCTGCCATCACGCCTGGGTTTTTGTTTGAGGTAAGATTGCGAAGATCATCGACAGGGCGGAAAAGGTAAAACTGGGGTCCTTTACGTCTCAAATGCTGGATCATAGTCCAGATCTCAGAGCGAGCTCTAACCCAATCTGAGAATCTTGTTTCAAAACGAGTGTCTGGTGATTCATTGATGTATGCAGTAAAACACAGCAAGAACGAGTATCTCTGAAGACCCGCCATAGCCTTAGCCAGGTACGAGTTTCTTGGATCTTCTTTGGACGAGAATGTCTGGGTGGTTTGACGGATTCGGTTTGTCAGAATATCCTCTCGAATGTTGATCACCGCATCAGCTGTTTTTTGAGGGGTGTTTTTTTTTGCAAGTCAAAATCAAATCAATACAATGATATACCATTAGTTTTAATATAGACTTACACCGATCAATGATCTTGTCTAGCATTCGCTTGCTAAACACACCACTGTCAAGGACAGATGCAAGTGATAGGACCGACTGGTAGTTGCCGAGAATTGCTTCCTTCAGATTCTCAATCAAACTTCCTCTTTCCATAGTCCATTCAATTGCCGAACGAGGGGACATCTTTGAATCTAATGCTATTTATTGATTGACTTGTGAGACTAGACATTAAGGTTGTATTATATACCTTTTTCGAGTACATAGATAACTCTCAGAAGAGCATGGTTTTGAGTGCTGACTGTATCAGCTTCTTCAAGGCCTTTGACAATGTCAGAGGAAAATGCACTAGATTGCTCTGTGGCTTGACCGTTGCCTTGTGCACTGTAAGTGTAGCCAGGAATAGGGAATGGATCTGGGTCACCTCTTTCAATCAGCTGTGTTCTTCGGATAATCTGAGCTACAATGATGCCGACGGTTGCTAAAGGTGACATGTGAGCATTGTATACTTTGATTGGCTTATTAAGGCACTTACTTCGAACGGCGCCCATGCCACAGTTAAAGATGAGAGGGTCCGTGGGCTCAAGTGTTTTGATGACACGCACATATTCGTCAAAGTAATTGTCTTCGGGTGCTTGTACGGGCGAGATAGGGATACGAAAATATTTGATACGGTATCCTTGTGCTTGGAACGCTTCAAATACTATTGTGCAAAATTAATTTATAAAAAGCTATAAAAAAAAAGAAAGATATATATATATATATAAAGCTTATCTTACCTTCTCGCGGTGTTTGTACTTTGTCGGCAGCGATAAAGCAAGGCACCACAGACCCATCAGCTATGAATTTAGTGAAATATAGTTAACATGTAGTACAATCGCTGAAGTAGCTCTATAATGGCAACCTAAACATACCTAATTCCTGATGTACTAGCAGCAGACCGCCCATTTTTTTACTCTCTTTGAGTACATCATCTTTTAAGCGTTCCTCAACCTTTTCTAACCGGGCTGCATTGATTCCTAGGAAGGTACTCATGTTCTGCATCGGACTAGCGTAGTCTCTCAACACATAAGGGTATCCATTCAAATAGACTACACAAACCATAAGTTTCAAAATTAAATAATGTTTTCTTTTATTTATAAAGCATATCCCGTACATACCCAAAGGCTCTTCTCTTGTCAGGAACCTATATTCTGCGTCAATATCAATCAAATAAATAGATAAAGATTTTGACTTCCTTACCAAGTACAAGACTGTGGAGTATGGCTTTTTGGGTGACAGTGTAAGAGCGCGAGAATGCTTGATAAGCCAATGACCTGTACACAAATATAGTCCCATATTTGATGGTCAGCATACCAATATTTTCCCCTTATTAAGTTCCAAAACTCTTATCATGAAACCCTCTGTTACTCTTAAATTTGGCAAAAATACCCTTCATATTCTCACGCCTTCTAGACAAGAGATATACACATACCGTCGGTTGTGCAACACCATATACACTAAGTTCTGCAACACGGAAGTTAGGTGCTCCCTGCAAATGAAAATCCAGTTTTGTATTGGTACCTGTGATTGATGCGTATTGAGTTTTATATTTTATCTTATTATTATTATTATTATTTCCGCTTTCCATCTTCTTTTAAGCAGGATATATTTACCACTTGAAAAATGATCCATTTTAAGGATAGCATTACGACCAAGTACACTTCCGTTTCGAGTCTTGACCAGACTTGTCACTTGATTTAGCCATTGCCGGGGATCAAGTGAAGGTTGGCTCGGTTTTCCGATCAAACGTGGTCCGGTTGTGAAGTCGGGTGTGTCATGAATAGGAAACGACTGGGAAACTCGTCTTGGTGAATTGTAGCCTTCGTTCTTGTCACTGCAATAATATAGGCAGAAATCAAAATAGAAATTAGGTTTTTTTTTAAAAAGAAAATTAGTTATATTTGCTTACAATCGCTGAGGAACAAATGCGCGTGGCTTTGCATGATCCGCATCAGTCAGTCGTCGCTGGACAAGACGAGGTGAGTTTCCTCGAGCACTTTTGTTGTAAAGCCAGTTGGAACCCATCGAATTAGGTGAAGAACCTGGTGAGAACGTCATCCCATTATGATCTTTTGGTGGTGTTGACATTTTGATTTTGGTTTTCTTTTTTTTTCCTTTTTTAAAAAATAAATAAATAAATAAGAATGAATAAAAGAAAGAAAGAAAGAAAGAAAGAAAGGTAAAGAGATAAGAAGGGGATGTGTGAAAATCTTGGTTGGGATTTTATTGGTATTAAATTTGGCTTGACAAGTGACGTAATACTGGCTGTGCAGTCCTGTTCTTGTTCCTGTGGCGATCAATGGGAAGCGAGCGAATGGACTAATCCTGGTTGCTCACTTGCTCAGGGCACCTGTTTTCTACGTCGGTACTCTTATGGCTGCTCCTTGGCAGACCACCTCTATCAAGATCGCTTACTTTGTCAGTCAAAAATGGTCCTTTACCTCTATGCAGCAGTTGAATGGCCGATGCAAGGCAAGTGTCACAAAAATAAAAAGGAGAAAAACAGGGCGACAATTTATAGTACCTTTCATGGACATCTTTTCATTCTCTGATTCATTATACGCTTAGACTGTTTGATGATTACTGCCTTTCCAAAGCCACAATTAAACAACAGCCTCTGTTTATTTCAAGTGATATACACTTCTATTCTAGATGTTGTGCCCGTGCTTAAACGGTTTTCGGAGTATTAATTAGACTTTTTGTAGTGCGTTGGATGCACGCATGTGGTGGACCTGACAGGATCCTTTTTTGGTACACTTCCTGCATTTTGGATTAAATGTCCGTAAAGGATGTCACTGAGGTGTAAATATCTTTTTGGTGACTTCATTGTGTGTATGAGCTTCTCGGTTGGTGTGGACAGACTAAAAGTTCAAAATTGGTTCAAATGCATATTAGATAAAATTAAATGGTCATAATAGTATCTCTTCTATCAAGTAAGAACTATTTTATTGTAGGTTTTTTTAAGTTTTGCACCCTGTGACTCATTTCTTCCACCAAAAACATGATCTTACTCTCAATCCATTGGGCAATGGAAGAAGACTATTCAGTCAGAGTCGCTTGAACTTTTTTTTGAACTTTTTAGTCTGTCCACACCAAATAGTAAAAGTGTACAAACTGTGTACCAATGTTTATTTGACTCTATTGGAAATAGCATTAGAGCTTTATTTATTTGTAGGATTTTACTTAATGCTAAAACTATAATTGCATATTAAAGTGTATAATATGTATACACAATTGCAATCAAGAATGATATATATATATATTGCGATTACAACACTCAAATTTACGCTTACACGCTTGACTTTTTGATTTCTGCGTATTAAAAAAGAAAGGCGTTGTGCTTCTATTCTCGATTCTATAAAGATTATAAGCTACAAATGAAGCATACAAATAAGAGCACAAAATCAAGATGTGATGGCTTCAATTGCAGCCATGAATAAATCTCTACCCTCAAATATCTTCTATTGTTATTTTACTCTACAAAATGTACAATTTCTTTTTAACCATAGTGTTGAACTATTTTTTTTGTGTTGTTTATTGAGAAAATTATATGCCCTAAGGCTAAATATTTAAGAACTTAAGCTGTACTCTGGATAGATTCTTCTAGCTCGAGCCGTCTAATGTTTAAGGTGGCAATAGCTGCAATTCGGCTAGTGACAAAGGGAATATCCTTGAAGATATATTAGAAGTGAGCTTCCCATATAGCACCTAGAGTTGCATTTCAGAACAATATATGAGGACACTGTGTTGTTTTTGACTTTAACGGACAACGGAGAAGTTGGGAGGAGAAGGTCCTCAAACGTAAGAAAGGTAGGAGTGATCAGGAACCGAGTTGCAACTTGTTGCCAAACTGGTTGTTTACGAGCGTATGCCTGGAATAGATGTTCATCATCTTCAAATTCGGTGTTAAACTAATTTAATTGGTCAAGTATCCCATTTGAGCGCAATATTTTACCAAGTATTTTCTCTCATCGCAAAATCTATTTTTATTTTGGTGAAAGCTGCAAAAATTACACATATAATTTTAACAAAATACCATTACATCTTGGAAAGTTCCCTTGCTTTTTTTGGTACTTTAGCATTTTCTTTTTCCACCTCTACCTCTATCACTATCTTTCTCTCTTTCTCTCTCCATATTTTTTTTATTACATTTTAGTTTATTTTACCATTTCTTCTTCTTATTTTGGTATGGCTATGAAACACAATCAAGCTGTACCGGCCTCACAACTGTACACAAAGCTCAAACGGGTCGGCAAAGGTGCTTATGGCTCAGTCTACAAAGGGTAGGGTCTTAATTATGACTCATTTAATCAATCCCACTTTACTCAATCGATTTTATTACAGCGTCAATAACCAGACCAAAAAGATTGTAGCTATTAAAGTACTCAATTTGGACACCGAGGAAGACGATGTGGATGACATTCAGAATGAGATTGCACTCTTATCTCAACTCACTCATGCCCGTTCCCAAAACATCACACCTTACTACGGAAGCATACTAAACGATACCAAACTATGGATTATTATGGACTATGCTGCAGGTGGAAGTGTGAGGACTGTTGTAAGTAAGGGTTATATTTTTGCCGCAAATTCATGTTCCTTTTTGGCTGACGATCTGTTGGCTCTATAGATGAAGGCAGGAGATCTCGAAGAAAAATATATCTCGGTCATCACAAGAGAAGTACTCCTTGCCCTTGCTTACCTGCACAAAAACCGCATTATTCATAGAGACATCAAAGGTAACTAAAATATTACGAACAAAGACTATCGAATTAAATTTTACTTGTACGTTTTTTTTTTGCTTTTTTTTAGCTGCCAATATTCTCTTGACGGCCGAAGGAAGTGTCCAATTGTGCGATTTCGGAGTGGCCGGTCAGGTCATCAATTCACTTAAGCGTAATACCTTTGTTGGAACACCGTATGTTAATATTTCTTAGGGTGGTAAGAAAATAAGACACTAATATAAATAGGTTCCTAGTTACTGGATGGCGCCTGAGGTTATTAAAGAAGGTGCTTCGTACGACTACAAGGTAATTTATAATACCTGCTTTACAACCAGCGTATATTGATCTCTTGGGGGATGGCATAGGCAGACATATGGTCTCTGGGAATCACAGTTTATGAAATGGCCACGGGAAACCCACCTCTATCCCATGTTGACCCCATGAGAGCTGTTATTCTCATTCCCCGATCAAAACCTCCTCGCCTCGAAGACAAATTCTCACCTGCTATACGTGAATTTATCGATATGTGTCTTTGTGAAGACCCAGAAGAGGTGAGGAACAACAACAGTTTTGGTGGATATTATTTACTAATTCTGTGTGTGTTTGTGTGTGGTTAAACTATAGAGACTTAGTGCAGAAGAATTGTCGAAATCAAAGTTTATCAAAGGATCTAGCAAAACAAAGTCAATATTGAGAGAAGTGATTGGGCGCTACGATAAATGGAAGAAGACAAGTGAGGCAGCAAAACGGTGTAGTATAGTCTCAAATGATCTCAGTAACAGGTAATACGCTCAATTTTGTGGAAATAAACCTTTTACTTACGTTTAGCTAACATGTCTCAGTGAAGGAGAAGAGTCTGGTTTGGATGATTTTGAGGATATCCAAGAAGAGGCATGGGAGTTTGAGGTAAAATACAATAAACATATCGTTACTTTTTAGTTAAAAAAGAAAGAATGGGGACGAGTAGACAATAAGGACACAGCAATCCAATCCAAGCCGCAGGTTAAAATCATCCACTGTTTCTCCAGCCAATGCACAACTCGCCTCTCAGCTACAACCACAACCACAGCCGCAACCAGAAGCGCTCACAACTCGTCCATACCGCAATCCAGAGTCTCTTCCTCTGGTGAGATTATTCAACAATAGCCCACAGCAGCCCCAACCTCAAATGTCTTCTTCAGAACGTACGGCACCACACTTTCCTAATCAACCCATTACGCTTGGATCTTCTCCTACTCGTCCTGCCCTCGTACCTTCAGGATTTTCCGAATCGTCTATCAAACCTTCCTCAGAACCCCTCGACATCAATAATAACAAGCCTCTTCTCGATCTTCCCTCCTTCTCCCCTTACCCGTCTTCATATCCAAATACGCCCTTGACGCAAAAAGATGATCCTCTTAATATCTCCAGGATTCCTAGTCCTCTTTCTCTCAAGCCAAGCATGGCTAATCTCTCCATAAATTCTGAAAGCAGCATCGATGCATTATCTAGTAGTGGACGTCTCGTTCCTGGAGCACAAGCTCGTCACAATGGTCAACAGCAGCAACAGCAACTTTTGAGTACATCAGTTCCTAAACTATCGCCTCGTTCTCGCCCAGAATCTCCCGAAGATGGCATCCGTGATCGCCCTATGTCTAGAGCACGCTCACACTCTGACCAAACCACAGTCAGAGAGCAACTTACTATTGATCCAAAACCTAATCATCCCACCGCTCTATCTGTTCCTGGAACAGCATCGATCTCTACCATAGAATTGCAGCCCTCGTTAAGTCTCAAACCAACTCTAATGAGTACATCTCCACTCGCTAGACGTGTCAGGTCAGCTACCAGCCTAAGGCACAATGAAGAGGATCGTGTGCCTCTCAAGGCCCTGATGGCAAACAGACAACAACAGATCTACCAACAATCTATGCAAGCTAATGTAACAGATACCAAACCAAAAGATCCTGGGGACCAGCAAAAGAAGCAAGCTCACGAATCTCCTCATAGACGCAGCATTAGTGCCGATAATGTGGCAAATACTCGCAAGGTATGAGAAAAAGAAAACTACTACTACTACTACTACTACTACTACTACTACTACAGCAATAACAACAACAGCAAAATGTGTGTATAATGTAAATTAAAACTCGTCTGTATTTGTCTAATAATCTTGTATAGACTGAAATCCGCAAGGCTTTAGAGGCTGCTCGTCATCATCCTGGACTTTCACCCCAACCTCCTTCTTTAGGACCCATTCCATTAGCGCCCACGCTTTCTGAATCTGATACGAGGACAATGAGAAGAGATGAAGGTTTGGATAGCATGGGCCACACACCAACGTCTGAGGTTTTGTGGACAAACTCGCCTGATTCTGATAGACCACCGCCGTCATCTTTAGGTGGACAACCAGCATATGGTGGTCCACCAATTCACACACCCCACCTGGATGGGCTTCGAGATCCAACAGAGCTTCAAGAAGAACTGTCTTTGGTATTGAGTGAATTGGATGGATGGTTACAAGTCATGGAGGGAGCACTCGGGCAGATTAGATCTTCTTAAATTATAACAAATGGAATACGGGCATGAGCTTTGATTTATTTATTTTTCAAGCGATGCCTTTCTTTATTTATTCACCTCTAGTAGGCTTAATCTTCATTATTATTATATCTGCCAGTTCATGAAAACCTTTATACTTCTGGAGTCGAATGTTTTATTCTCATTTCCTTCTTAGCACACATCTTTGAATACTCATTAACCACCATTACTTTTATTTTAAAACCAATCAAAATATGGCTCCACATTTCTTTATTTTTTTAATAATAATAATAATAATAATAATATCGCTAACACTAAAGAAGTTCTATCTTTTACACACACAAACACATGTATCTATATATGTGCGCGTATATATATTTATGTGAAAAGGTGCTGTGACTTTGTTGCTCAATGAAAAATAAAGGGAAGAAAAGGATGGTCAAGGACTAATGGCATCACCATCTTTCTTTCTCTTTCTCTCTTCTTTCTCGTGTATAACCGAGACCAGATTCATTACAATGCCTCCTAAGCCGGATGCTGACAATCCGACATCGACGTCTCAAAATGAAACTATAAATAAACCTACTGGTCAGGCTACATTTGCCTTACCACAGCCCATCTATAATTCAGATCCACAATCAACACGATTTGATGAACTTGGGCCTCGATTGAGAGCTCTTGCCGATGAATTTGCAATAATGGAGCGTAATCTCGGAAAGCTCAAAGAAGTAGGAACATCATTTGATGGCTTTAATCGATCCTTTGGAGCATTCATATTTGGTTTATCTACAATTGGTGGTACAGTTGACTGGCCACAAGTAAGAATGCAATTATGCACACATAAATAATTTAAAAAAAAAAGAATTAAATAAATAAAAAGAATTAAAACTTAATATTGACTTATTTTTATATTTCCTACTAACAGGCACCTGTCAAAGAATCATTTGAAAACCACAGTCATCTCCAAAGACCCTTTGTGTCAGGTATGATTTATATAAAATAACGTGCAACATTTACCCTTGATGTTTCCTACTTGTACTAAAAAAAAGGTACACCATCTATATACAGACCTTTCAGCAGTACATAACACAACTATAGAAGATATTCAGCCTAGTGATAAATCACCGGCACAAGAAAAAACAAAAGACACTATTAAACGTATTACAAAACGAAACTCCAAAGAAACACCATCAAGACCAATTATTAGAACTGGACCTAGAACATCAAATAAATCTACCGGAAATCCAGCAAGCAAGATATCAGTCGCTCAATCGAATAGATTTACCCGAAAGGTGTATATCTATACCTATATACAATGTGTGTATGTGTGTGGATTTAATGTATTTACCTATCGTATATTATTTTATGTAGCTCAATACGAAAAAGATCATCGAACAACTACCAATTGAATTCCGTGATAAAAAGGTAACTGGTTGGACAATTGTTGAAATAGTGTAAATATTGGATTAACTGATCAATCGTTATACTTATGTTTGGGTACAAAAGGAACGCTTTGACCAAACAAAATTAATTCTTGAATCCCTCATGTCTCGCCCGGATGGAGCGTAAGTACAGATACTTGGTCTATTTGCTTTGATAATGAGCTAATGTTATTATACTTAGATTGCTTGATGATATTGTCAAGTCTACTGAACTTCCAAAATACGCCGTTACTGTGTGTCTGAATGCTTTAGTTCATAGGAAACATGTGGCAAAACTGACTCAAAAGGTAAATACTTGTTATTATTATGTACAGAAAATTGTCATCAGTATATTATAATGAGTTTATATTGTTGTGATTGTAGGGACAATACAGTATCTTCAAGATGGATCCTGTTAGATACCCTACTACTGAGATCAATCCTCAGCGATGATTATAGCTTTTCTTTTTTCTTATAAAAAAAAGAAAGAAAGAAACTATCTTATCCATGTGTATATACAACATATTTAATTCTAATCTAATAATATTTTCAAATGGCTTCCAATTAAACGAGTTACCTTTCTTTTTATGCTGCCAAATAAGGAAACGTCACTGCTTTATTATTATGTCCCAATGTAAAGCCAAATTAAGTAAAAGACAAGAAAATGGTTGGCTGCTGACTGAAAATAAATTTAACGGAGATGGAAATTAATCAATCGATTTTAATATAAATAAGCTGCAAATCTGCCTAACATTTTTACTCTTTATCATATAACAAGTATTTGCCTTAGATCCTTTGTCAGGGTGTGTTGAGTTTCATTACTCTTCTTCATCTACAAAGCTTATGTTTTGACATTCGTTGACAAAGCTTGAGTCATTCAGATACAAGAGTACCTATACCTCCATTTCGATCCAGCTTCGTACAGTTGCTTAAGTATCGATAGATGATCTCTCTCGGGAGTGATTTTATCGAACTTTGAAAGAAACATTGTATTTTGGGTTCATCTGGGGACATTTTTTCATATTTTTATAAAATATATATTTTTTTATATATATATCAAATACAAAATATTTAAACAAATAAATAAATAAATGATTAATAAACAAAAATTTATATTTTTCTTTTTTTTTTGTGAAAAAAACGACTGCTTTTTTGTTACTGCTGTTATGAAAAGATTCTTTGTAAAAGAATATGAAAACCCTCTCGGTGTAGACGCAATTCTGTGTAATTAAAGGCGTTCTATGTTCTAATATAACCCACCTTTATTTATTTTTCTTGTGATAATTTATCATTGAAATAAAGATCATGGAGCATAAAAAAATAATAAGCGTAGAGAAGAGTAAATATAGAAATAAAAGGAAGTAAAATATAAAAATAAAAATGATTTACACTAAAAGCTTGCATCTCCTCTGGTTAATTTTTCTTTTTTTTCAATTTTTACAACTTGAAGTGTTTACAAAATCTCTTTTTACGTAGACTTTTGATTCTTTAACTTTATATAGAGCACCAAGAAGTATTAAGAACAGAGCAAAGATGAAGACAAAGGAAAATAAAATAATTAAGGAATAGTCAATAAAATGGCGTGAGAGAAAATTGACCAGGACTACTAACCTTTTTAACAGAAATGGAAAATCAAGAAGAGAAAACTGTAAAAGGAGTGGGAAGAGTCAACCGGGAAGGCCGCCACATCCCGTGTCAGTTCTCGTTATATGTTTGACAAATATCTTCTTATCAAACCTACGCCAATAAACTCAAGGGAAGTCAAGCGAGACAAGTGGCGGGTTATACTTATATCGAATTTTATAACATGCTACTGGCTAGCAAGTGCATTGTTATTACAGATTCACTGATTGTTTGTGCTTATACATTTTTTTGTGTTATTTATTGCTGATATTATATATCCAAGGGTGACTTGATTACGAAGAATGATGTTGTAGCGCCTTGAGAGTCTTCTATTTCAAATCGTCTAATATTCAAAGGTAAATACTGCAGCTCGATCCGTGATAAATGGGACATTATGAAATGTGTGTTGGAAAGTGAGCTTCCCAGATGGTACTTAATGTGCATTCCAAAACAATGTATGTATTCCCAATAGTGTTGCAAGCTTTGAGTTAGCTTCGTGATTATCTAAAAAAACCTCCTTAACCCTTTACGACCTATTTTTTTTTTCATCTCTCAAAACACACATTACACTTTATATAGCAATTTGGTTAAAAATAGAACCTCGATCTGGTAAATGTGATTATACAATTCGGATATGTGTACTGATCAACTTTGAAAGGATGAGACTAATGTATGTTTTCTATTATAAAAAAAATTGTGCCGCAAAAAAAAAGTGCCAGGTCCAAAGGAACACACAAACTTAATAGAGAAATTCTGTATTTCGAAGGCCAAATTTATTCTTGGGAATAAACCGGATCCTTAGAAAGTGCACTTAGCTATCTTTGAACTGTACACAGTGTTATGTATAACCAATTGTTTGGTATTCAATCTGAGTATTGGCTTTGATATCTGAAGAACACCTTTTATGTCAAATATTATTATTGTTATTATTATTGGCATGTTAGTTTTACTGTGGACGATGTTGTCCCAAACTTTGAAACTAATAACCAAATGGTTTATGTTTTCGACTACGCGCCAAACCTAATTACAAACAGAAAAAGTTCCAAGAGAAAAGAAAGTGGTTAATAAGACACAATACAAAGCAGAACAATAGCAAAACACACCAGTCGTTTGCGGGTTGAGTGTTATGTCCAAAGCAGATATTATTTATAAATGTATTATGAGTAACAAAAGATCAAAGATAAGTACTAATACTAATATTAATACTAATATAAATTCTAGAAAATTTTTAAATGTAAAGAAAAAAATTCCCAGTATGGTTAATTATCAACAAATTGTAATTATAGTTACAATATGGTTTGCTATTATACCCCGGTAGTATAGATAAATCTTTAACTATTTTATAGTCATAAAATAGAATTCAATTCAATTCAATTCAATTCAATACAATGGTATAATACAATAAATCTTCAAGTGTATTACAATATTACGTCAATCGAGTTTATAAATACATAAATTCAAATCTAAAGAAACCTATAATTATATATTTTCTAAAGGCCAGCTTAATTTGATAAACCTAATGTATCGAGGAGGTACACAAGTTACTATTTCAAAGGTCTCATATTTTTTGTTATGTTCTAAAAATATATTTAAAGTATATGTATAATAAACTTGCTTAAACACATAGATATACATACCTATACCTATACATGTACATATATATCTACACACACACAATCTCACATACAGATACACAACCGTATTTGTACATATTTATACAAAAAGAGATTGACAAGCCTTATTAGTTTTATGGTTTGAAAGAAATGTACAGGTATAAAAGTCTCTATATAATTTGTACAAGTAATATATATATATATATATATGTTCTTATATGTAGATATTTAAAGTTCCATTTTTTTTCTGTGTGGCTCCAGAACAGTACTTCTTTTTTATATTTGTTAAGGTTTTTAACGATCATTTTAAAGCCAATCTTTCTAATAAAATTTAAAAATCATAGCACAAGCCTTATGGTGTGTCATATTTAAATATCTCCAGCCACGATTAATTTCTTTAAACCTTATATGTGCAGCGAATAAAGCCACAATGGTAAGCCACGCAGGGTTTCTGACACATATATATATAAACCTATTTGTCGTTAATGTTTCGATCTTCTTTATCCAACTGCCTACTTCTCTCAATCATGGAGTCTAACTCAACATTACCTTTGAATGCACTCGTGGACAAGCTCTTTACAGCGGCGTCAATTTCAACCTCCGGGACTATCGCTCTTACAACTAGTGACACTCATGATATTATATATTATTTGAAATATCTGGCACATTTATCGGACCAACCCGTCAATTTTTTTCCGGATACTCCATTGGAGTACCAGAATACAGGTAAGATACAAGGATCTATGTCATTTAACATGTTTTATTAACTTCTTTATTTTAGATATATTTGAATCGCCGTCGATTTCTGCAAGCGCCACACTCCCCTCCTTGTGCAACCCACTTCCCAGTGCCACATCGACTCCTCACTGGGCTTTATCTCCAATGGATAGCTTCAGCGGTCTTTCTCCCCACGAATCTACATTTGAAGCACTCTCGAATATGAGCGAGAAAGACACCTATGCCACAGACTCTCTCCAAATACTATATTCGGAACAAATCCGATCGGCGAATCAGACACCTTCTCCCCCAGATGAATTATGGACTAAATTTGAGTCCATCAACCAAAATCCTTCTTTTGACGACTCCTTCCCTTTCACTGACAATCCTGTATTTCCTCTAAGCCCTTGTCCAATGGAAATCATTGACTCCACTGTCGAAAATAATCCTACCCCTAGTTGGTCTTATTCATGCCCTACGATTTCCCAATCTCAGTTCAATGCACCACTCGAACCGTCATCCTCCGATACCTTGAGCTCTTCAAAGAATATCAAAAATTGTTTATCGAAACGTACAGGCAATAAAAAAGTAATAACCACTCCATATAATCCGCAAAAGGGCTACAAGTTCCGCCACCTTGTTTCATCTTGCAATGGACCCATGCCACCAAGTGATGGAAATGACTCGAATGTCAATAAGTACCGTTGCTCAAATTGTTGTAGGGACTTTACAACCAAGTTCAATATGATTCGCCACCGCAAGACCATTCATCCTTAAACAAACCATAAGTATATATATATACGTGTGTGTGTTTGTTTGAGCCTGTATATTTATGTATCTACTTCTTTTATGCCACCCATATTTCTTTCTTTCTTTTTGTGTTTACATCTAAACATTCTTCTATCCTTTCTATATTCGTTGGTTTCTTTCTTTTTGTCTTTCTTATATCGTACACTTTATATATGTAAATATGCTAATACTGAGTCTCCACATCCTATATTATTCTTTAAAAATCCTTCTATATTTCTCGTTTAATTCTACTATATTCACTTATTTTAATTCTATCTTAATTTTTTATTATATTACATTGCCTTATACCCTTTATATTATACTATTTTATTTTATTCTATTTATGAAATGCATTCTTTCAATCTCATTTAATAAATCACAATTTTTGCTTTTGATACATACAATAAAGAGAGGTTGGCGTTAGATATCAATTACAAGCGTAGGCATTGAATTTGGTTAATACAACCTTGCTTTTATTGCTGTTGTAAGCATATATAATATCACAAATTAATCTTACAATTATAATGCTTTTAAAGCATTCCTTTTCTTGCTTGGCTGTCTCCCACAATTTTTAGTAAATGCTATAGAAATAATGTTACGTTACTTTTGGTCTCTCACAAGTTTCTAAACTAGATACTTCAATGCTTAATTTATGTATAGTGACTTTTCTTCTCCTTTAGAATGTCTCGTCTCATTCGGTATTAATAGGATATTATGATTATTTATGATTATTGCTACCTATATTTTTGTTTGCTTCAATTCAAAGTGCTTTCATACACAGTTCTGCTATCTATTAAAATAAAGAGGGCATATGCACTCTTACAGAACAAAAAGTCTTTCCAAACCGACCAAAATTGGAATTATACTTTATTTAATTATTTAAAAGTAACATTAATTTATGGGAAGAGAATGAGACAACAGACTCGAAACCTATGTCAGGGAGACCAAATAAACCAAGAATTACTGATGAAATTGTCCTTTGTTTTAGTGTGAACCAAAATTTGATTTAAATACTATAGATATCCCTAAAAAAAGTTCGGTACATGCTGCTGCAAACGTTTGTAAAAAGATATTTACCGACTATCTTTATGTAAGCTGCTTTGCTCATTTTGTTATCATGACTAGCCAAGATCTGACAATTGAACAAATGAGTAATATATTGCGTTAAAACATAGGTGGAGCTAGTATGATAATTAATGTTTTGGATATAGTAGTCCGGTATAACTAGTCTCAGTTTATGGTGAAGAACAATGACTATGACCCACAGTTAATTAGTAAGTTTGAGAAATTATCTCAGAATATATATAACTATGATAATAAAACTTGGATAGGGCTCTGTGATGGTATGATGTGCTTTTAGGCTGAACAATTTGGTTATCTCGCGGATTTTGAAGGGTCTGCTGATTACGATGTATATTTCAACTGTCTGTTCCAGAACTTTAATCCCTGAGATCCACGATATCATAAGAAAAATTATATCATATTAACTCTCCAAGAGAGAGAGAAAAACACGGACTAACACACTAATCTTTATACAAAATTGTAGAAGAGTTGTCGTCAAGTTTCTTTTCTTGGAATACTGTTTTTTCCAAAGGGATTATTTTATATCCAATTGAGTACGTATGAAAGGCAATAAAGTACCGGGTTACAGAAAAGGAAGCCTACATAAACTACACTGAAGATAACAAGGCTTGTACTTTCAAGAAGTGGAAGAAAATAAACGTGGGATTTGGTGCAAAGTTTTTACCACTCTTTTAATAGTCAATTAATAACTTAAATCTATTAAACATGAGACTGACGATACTTTTTTTTTTATTTAAAACAATATGAAGCTTGCTTAGTTATATATGGTTATATAACTATAGTCTGATTTAGCACACACAAAAATGTTTTGATGAACCAGGGCTATTTTATAGTGGTTCGAAAAAAGGCACAATAAAATTACGCTTATAAATATCACATAATACTGACTGGCTCAATTATATTATACACGTAATAAAAAAATTTAGGGATACAACTGAAAATTTATCCATCTTTTAGCATACTTTTCTTTTTAAAAAAAAACAATAAAAAAAAACTACTGGGCCATAAGGAAACTTAGTCAACGCATTCTACTGAATTTGGGTTTTTCATATTACGGATATATTGGTCTCTAGGAAAGAATATATGAAACTGATAATCCGTTGGATAAATCAAAATCACGGTGTATTAGTATGCGATATTTCGGTATTTTGGTATTTGTCATGAAGATATCAGGGAGTTACGATTACACCTGTAGGACCTGCTTTGTTGATATTACAGAACTCTGATGCTTTACTTTCTTTGTCAAGCTTATTATTTTTATGAACCTACCAATATGTAATGTGTATGTATGTATCTATATACTCATTTTCTTTGTATTAAAATCAAAAGTCATTAATTTGGACTTGAACAAGGTTTTTAATAAAGCATAGTTTTTAAAACTTATTAATGTACAGATATTTGTTCATTTAATAAAGAAGGTAAATTTCAGTTAAATCAATATAATCCAAATAGTTGGAGTTTTGCCCTGAAAACGTCTGCTCATTGAGGAACCCAAGAAAATTATACGCCTTATTATTATTACAAGTATCCATTTTATGCTACCGCGGCTGGATTAATAAGACCCCAAAAAAAAGTACTTTGTTCGCAGAGAACCATTATTCTAATTATAAACAGAAAAGACACATAAAAAAAAAAGATATTCATACTGTTTCAAAATATGGCGCCTTATTTCATAATACATTTAATATACTATCTATGTGATACTAGCACGTACATATAGCATGTAAGGAGTATGTGGAGAGCCTGTCTATGCCCATTTAATTTTATTTACCACATGTGCAGTGAAACAGAACACAGATAGTTGACCAAGTCCGCTTTAACGACGGATATGTATTATATCACCTCTATTCACTCATGTTGTACGTTAAACGAGGGTGTTTCATTTTCATAATTTAACCAATACAATTTCACAATAATCCTTTTGTTCTCTGCTATTTCATTTCTCGCTTCTATTAATCATTTCAAGATCTAATGTAAAGAATGGATAGTTTAGGCAAACTAATGTAGTCAGCCTTATCCTCTCTCTTTCTTTGTACAGATATTGTGGTTTTATTCACAAGTATATAGTCTTGTCGATATAGGTATTCATGCTCACTTTCTACTAGCAATTAAGATGCGTTTAGATATGCAAGTTATTTCAATACAGTAGCATACCAAACACAACAGGGAGATAGACCCTCCTTTCTCTTTGGTCTGGCATGGTGTGACGTCCAATAGGAAATTGCCAATGAAGATCCAAGAGATACTTTTTTTAGGCACAAAAAAAAGTAACACACAATTACATCACAACCTTCTTCATCTTGCTTATTGCCATGGCAGACCAAGAATCAGAAGAAGCTAGAAAAGCCAAGCTTTTGGCAGCTAAAAAAAAGGTAACTGCTGATATATGTATACATTATATAATACTTCTGGTTTAACAAAAAATAAGAGGGCCAATAAAGAGTGCGCGTTCGCTAATAAAGAACATTGTCATTCTTAGCTCAAGAAATTCCAAAACAGAAAACATGACAATGTTGAAAGTCCAGCTGGTAGCGAGACATCAAAATCACCGAGCGAGAAAGCTACAGTAGATACTCCAGTGAATCCCGAGATACCCACAGAAAAAGAGTAATGACAATTAAAGAATCAGTTGGTTAACCCAAGCAAGATGTCATTTACCCGACAAATAAATGCACAATCCTAATAGTGGAACTGCAATGTAGGGTCAAATCAATAAAGCTTCAATCTACGGACACTTCTACAGCTGCCACCAACGAGTTACAGCTTATTGTGAATGATTTGCAAAAAAAGCTAGATGCATCGGAGGACAGTCGCCAAAGAGCATTGCAACTTATCAATAAACAACTCGAAAATGTCAAAGCCGATGCCCTACGAAAACAAGAACAGCTTGAGAATCAAGTCAACGTTACGAATGAAAGACTCACCGAGACATCACAAACACTCACCCAACTAAAAACAGAAAATAGCCAACTTCACCAGAGCCACAATGAGGCTCAGCAAAAGTTAAAGTCAGTGCAAGAGACAAAATCTCAACTTGAGCAAGAAGTCTCATCTCTTCAAGAGCAAATTTCTCTCACAAAAGAAGAGCATCATGCTTCTCAGGAGACTGTCAAGTCATCGGAAAAACAGCTAGAGGATGCAATCGCGCAGAAAAATGCAGAAAAACAGAAAAGTCAGGAACTTCAGGATGCACTTGAAAAGTTTAAACAAGAAAAGGCTGCATTAATTGAACAACAAAGCAAAGATTTGGAGGAGCATGAGAAATTGAAAGAAACAGTGAAAGAGCATGAAAAGCATGAGCATGAGCTAAGCATCGTCCTTGAAAAAGAAAGAAAGGAGAGACATAGTGCAGAAACCCAACTAGATCAAATTAAATTGGAGTTGGAGACGGTCAATGCAAAGGCGAATTATGCACAGAAAAATCATTCTGCATTAAACTTGACTGTTTCGGAACTAAAGCAGAAGCTGACCGAGGAGCACAAACGCGCGGAAGAAACATTAACCACCCTTGAAGCAGAGCGAAAAGAACATGAGCAGACTATCAGCAAGATTAAGGCTGATGTGGATTCAAGGGATGTAATGACAGAGACTCTGACAAACGATGCAAAGGCTGCAAAGGAAGACAAAGAACGCATCACTGAAGAGCTAAACAAACTCAAAGAGCAGTATGACCAGACATCAAAGACACTTGACCAGAAGTTGGAAATTATTCAACAGCACACATTGTCGATTGGAAATGTAACAATGGAAAACAAGAAACTTGAGGATGATTTGAATGAAGCCAAAGAAGTTAGCTCCAAACTCACAAAGAAATTTGAGACACTTGAGGAAGAATTTCATACGGGTATAGGAGAAAGGGATCTTGCTAATGACGCACTTATGAAGGAAATTAAAGAAGCAAAATC